GCTGAGGAGGAGGAGGAGGAGGAGGGAGGAGGGAGGAGGAGGTGTTGCACAGCTTCAGGGCCTCAGTCAGGACACGCAGCCATTCATAAACCCGTTCATTGACTAACAGCTCCATGAGCTTTAAAGAGTAAGGAAACAATCCTTTGAGCCTGAATTCTTCAAATAATCAGCTGTCCGAGGTCCAACCATCCCAGACACGAAAGCTCCTCGTCTTTCAGACAAGGATTTCATCTGTAAGCATTCAGAGCATTAGTTGGAGGTGACTCTCAGTTACTACCAAACCAAATCTTAGCTCGTTGTCCTAAAACAAACTGGGTCGCAGGCATTTTTGTGCTGGTTGGAGAAATTATGTAACAGTTACTTCTGAAAATATCCACCATGGTTTGTCTGGTTAAATAAAGGTTAACAAATGTTGATGAGCACTTGCTCTGTGGGGTTTTCTGGTACACTCAGTGTTTCAGTTTTAAAAGGACAGAAGTCGGTGCTGAGCGGCGCTGCAAGGTCAACAGCCACGATGGTCAACATCCCATCAAAATGGACAAAAGTCATCAAACAAGAGCGTACGGCACATTATACACCCACAGACAAACTATTATGCAACAATTAAAGCAATGACCCGGACAAGAAAAGACCTGGTTTAAATGTTGACCTTGATTTGTGACCTTGACCTTGAAGCTGGGGTGATAAAACATCTGCGTTGACTCAGCCGCACTTTTGTTTGCCGCGCTCAAATTAATTTTAGCACATGAGTAAAAAAAACAAAACAAACGTCGCTGACGAGCTACTTGGGCAAAGTGAAAACTCCTGACGAGGCTCCACAACTGCCACACATCAAGAAAACGCCAAGAGGCCGACGCTTCTCGCTCCGAGGGATATTTGACGACCAGATCTCCAATGAAGCCGTGAAACCATCTAAACTGCTTCAACATGTGGAGACTAAGCAGAAGAGAGAAAAGGCTGAGGATCTAAAGTGGATCAAAAGTTTTAGGCAGGACAAGAGGAAGTTTATGTACGGAGGCTCTACCAGAATATGTCTATCTTTCAACAGGCGTATAAATAGTAACTAAATGTCATTAGTTACATAACTTTAATAAAGTCACTGACATAGTTGCACCACTGCATTTTAAATGGAGGAGACATACTTTCAATAATTACATTGTGGGAGTTTCCCTAAAGTGCTTCCACTGATATTTTGCTAACAAACCCATGCACAAACAGACAGAGGTAGCATAATGGTATAAGGCAGGAAGGAGGCTCAGTGTCTTCAGCAGGATGGCTCTTTTGTCTCCTCAGTAATAGCAGCAGTCCAAAACAGCTGAGCTCTGTGTGTCCAATTTACTCCAGGACGTGATGGAGAAAGTGCTTACCTCGGAGTTTTCACATGTGATTAGTCATCTTCAGACGCGGCAGTCATCAGATTCACGTCAGTCGGAGGGCTGGTGAAAATCCATTACTCCAAACTGAAAGGGACTAAATATTGGATCACGAGCTGAAAGAGGCTGATGGGAAATGGTTTAATGGAGTCCCAACAAAGACGCAGCCAAACCCTGGTTAAACACACGAGGAGAGCAAAAAAGTTTGAAGGATGTGCAATATTTTAAAACTTTCAAATGTAGTAACAATTATCTGCAGTGGCTGGGTTATAAACAAATCCAATCCATCCGTCCAGTCTATCCATACCTGCATGCACAATTACACCATTTCTCCAAGCGGAGGTCATTATAGGTGGTATTTTTAATAACTGTTCATAATCTTTCCTTAGAACCCCACTGGCAAAAGAGTTGAACTATCCCTTTAAGACTCAGGTCAGGTTAAAGCTGTTGAAACACACGGAGTGTGGGAGTAAAATGGTAAATGTACTGTACTTATATAGCGCCTTTCTATCTTATTTCAAGATACTCAAATCGCTTTACACTACAATCTGTGCCTCATTTACCCATTCATACAGCACTCTACTAGATCTATACAAAGCTAATAGAACAAATCATTCTAAAGAGACTAATCAGTGCTTTAGATCACATTCATACACTGATGGGACACACATTGGAGGCTATGAGGGGTTCAGTGTCTTGCCCATGGACACTTCGGCATGTGACTGCTGGTGGATTTGAACCCCCAACTCTTGCATTGGAGGACGACTGCTCTAACCACTCAGCCACAGCCGCGCCAAAGTAAAAAGACAAAAACGGAAAATGTTACAACAAATGTCTGTGGATTTATAGATTCTGTTTTAGAAGGTCAACAAATCCCTGACATGGCTGTTTTCTGTTTTATTAGATTTTTTCTTCAGGTTGACTAAGACAATCTGCAAGGCATGTTGTAATGAGCGTGCACAGTAAATTGTACAAATAAAGGTTGAATGAATGTTGCATAAACTGTAATGACAATGACACATAGTGCAAACAATAAGAAAGCAGCATCTCAACAACCAACCTTTCTGTGCTCAAGTCACACATGCCCAAACTCATGTAGGATTTTTTTAGAGTTGTGTTATTATTTGTGTTGGTTAGGGGTTTTCTTTAAGTCATTAAAATGCCACAGCACCTGAGATGTGTGTGTTCTTGCTTCAGGCAGCATCCTGCTGCAGTGATCTCTGACGTCTTGATGTGCTGAGGGTGACTCTTCTCGGTTCCGGTGCATCGTGACACAGAAATGCACGAGTGCAGCCTCCATGCACCAGATCATATTCACATGATATTTGTGTGTGTTGGGTTGAAGGTGCAGCCGCTGGAGTCCTGCTCAGGTCTGCAGCGGCGGCCTGTCTTTCTGCAGCAAACGGCTGTTCTGTTTTTTCTCTCTTATTGCAGTTTTGGAAGAGTTCCCAGTGCTGCTGCTGCAGTGAGACTCCAGTGGAGGGGCCAGGAAAGATGAGTGGTGCACATGCATCCTTGAAACATTATTCCCAACACACATGCACGCACGCACACACATCCAGGAAACTGTCCTTTACCTGTATTTCACTCTGCACCACAGTTTACCTGCCTGGACATTTCTGTCACGAACACTAGAACAATAAAACAAGTCCACATCATCAAATAACAAGATTATATTCTATGCTGTAAACCAAATTAAATAAATACATTTAGTTTAAACAAAAATTAAACATAAACCCATTCAGTTTGCATTTGCTTTATGTTTGCTTAGTTTTCCCAGGTGTCTTGTCCAACAGCAGTCCTTTTTCAAACTCACACACCATTCTTGAAATGTTTCAGTCTGGTTTTAAAGCCCTTCACAGCACGTTTAAAGGTTTTTCATGAGATTCAGGAGACTCTCCTGTGATTTTGCTTTTAGACCTGACAGCTGCCTTTGACACAGTTCAGTTCAATTCAGTCACAACAGAAGTCATCTTAGGGCACTGAACAGAAACATTTACATATATTATAAAAGCCAATTAGTAAAAGTTCTCTGTCTAAAGTTCTCTATCTAAAGACTTCATCGCAGTCTCCCATCCTGAGCAAGCACAAAGGCAACAGTGGAAAGGAAAAACTCCCTTTTAACAGGAAGAAAGCTGCTGGAATCAGCCAACAGGAAGTTGGATTGAAACACAGCAGTGAAGGCTATGGGACAGATCTGATTGGCAGGCTGTAGGCTGAGGAAGTCCTCTGGATGGGGGACAAAACGTTTCTCACCTAAAACAACTGGTCCAGATGATATGATTGAACCCTTTTGTTGTTATCAGAGTCAGAGAGTCAGAGAGATTTATTTGTCATACACACCACACGTGATACATGAGGTGGGACGAAACTATGTAGGGTTCCAGTTACATCCAACAAAAACACATATTGTAAAGAAATACATTAGCAAGATCCGAATCATGAACTAAGAATATACTACATTCACTAAACTAAGAATACACAAGACTAAGAATACACTAATCACTAACGTACAAGAACAATTCGCCAAAACAACAGCAGCACGAACATGAGTCTGTGTGAGCAGATGAGGACTAATGAACACAGGAACATGAAATAATCAGCAGCATGAGATCAGCATCATGAATAGTCAGCAGCACATATCGACAACCAAGTGGCATTACAGCGATTTTCACAGTTTTTTTATTTTTATGACTGATTGAGCTGCAACTGGTAGAGCTGCTGCCTCTCAGCGAGCAGGTCCCCGGTTCAAATCCCGGTCTGGGGGCCTTTCTGGGTGGAGTTTGCATGTTCTCTCCGTGCATGCGTGGGTTTTCTTGGGGTACTCTGGTTTCCTCCCACAGACCAAAAACATGCATGCTAGGCTGATTGGTAACTCTAAATTGTCTCTAGGTGTGAGTGAGAGAGAATGGTTGTTTGTCTCTATGTGTCCCTGTGATGGACTTGGACTTGCAACCTGTCCAGGGTGTACCCCACCCCTTGCACAGTGATTGCTGGACATGGGCACCGGCGACCCCCGTGACCCAAAATGGAAGAAGCGGGTAAAAGATAATGGATGGCTGGATCATTGAGCTTACAACCATGATTCATTATTTAGATTCATCAGGGGTGGCTGTGGCTGAGTGGTTAGAGCAGTCGACCTCCAATGCGAGAGTTGGGGTTCGAATCCACCAGCAGTCACATGCCGAATTGACCCTGGGCAAGACACTGAACCCCTCATTGCCTCTGATGTGTGTCCCATCGATGTATGAATGTGATAAAGCTCTGATTAGTCTATTTAGAATGATTTGTTCAATTAGCTTGGTAGAGATCTAGT